CAGATCAAAGCTGTTGGCATGGCAATAAAGAGTTGCATTGACAATTTAAATTTAAATTTAAATTTTACCACATTTCGGCTGGACCACCAACACGGTCTCCCGCGACGTCTCTTTTCCTCGGCCTTCCTGTAGAGCTATAATGTTTAGTGTTTACAATTGTGAATTCCTCTGGCCTGCGAAGTGTCTATTTCTGTATCTATTTCAATATTCCGTCTCCTTTTTTTTCTTTTGTATTTCGGGTTAAATAAAAAACTTATTTAAAAAAAAAAGAGATTCGAGAGGTAACGTCTACGCAGTGTGACGCGACCCGTGTTACAATTTGCATTAAAAGTCAATCGCACACAGAAACGCAACAGGGGTATAAATAGGGATAAGATTAAGGACTGGGACAGTGGCCTTTTTTTTATCTTTAATCTCCTGCCATCTGGACCGGGAATCAAGCGATCAATCAAAGCCGTTGAGTACGCCTTTTTAAATTTTAATACTGTCAATACTGCGTTGTACTTCAAACACGGCCCTGTAGCGGGATTGAGCGGTAACGCGCGTTACCATGACCGTGAACTCGGCGTAACGTCGCTGTCCAGCGAAAAGATTTTTTACTATGGGGGTTAAAATACCCCCCCAAACGGTTTAGAAAACCCGGAGAGAGACACCTTCTGAGCACATCAACTTGTAATTTCACCGTTTCCTCCCCGTGTAGCCTGAAGTGACATTCCGTGACCGGTTCTTTCAGTGATGAGCCGTGTGGTTTTTTTATGGGCTGTGAACGGACATGTAATGTCAAGGTGAAAGACCGTGCTCAGGCCCCAGTCCGCGTCCTCAGCGGCTACTGCTAACAACAAGGCCTCAGACTCAATACCCAATGTTGTTGTTGTTGTTTGTTTTCTCACTACTACATATTTGTTGTCCACAACTTATTTATTGTTGTTGTTATTATTATTTTATTATGTCTGTAATACACTGTGTAATGTAGGGGGGTGTTGTGTGCTGTACTGTGTATTCCCCCAGAACAGAACACGACAATGAGACACAATGGGGATCCCCTCCACCCCCAGCAGTGTGTACCCCCACCTGGATGAGGCGCCAGTCCGCTCCCCACACCCCAGCTCTCAGTGGGGAGGAGAGCAGAGTGATGGAGCCAGTTCAGAGAGGGGGGTTATTAGGAGGCCATGATGGGTAAAGGCCAGGGGGGGGGGAATTTGGCCAGGACACCGGGGTAACACCCCTACTCTTCTCGAGAGACACCCTGGGGTTTTTAATGACCACAGAGAGTCAGGACGTCAGAATTACGTCTCATCCGAAGGACGGCACCTGTTTACAGTGTAGTGGCCCCCGTCACTATACTGGGGCTTCAGGACCCACACAGACCGCAGGGTGAGCGCCCCCTGCTGGCCCCACCAATACCTCTCCCAGCAGCAGCCTCAGCTCTCCCAGGAGTCTCCCCTCCAGGTACTGACCAGGCTCACCCTGCTGGGCTCCAGTGGGGCTGCTATTGGTGAGTTGCAGGGTGATATGGCTGCTGGCAGATTTTCAAGCGCCTCACAAGATAAACAGCCCCCTGCCCCCGCTCCCACCTAAACCACAATCCCCCCCCACACCCCTGGAACTGTCCTGGGCCTGCCCTCCATTTTTCCCCTGCAGGTGGGGGGGAGGGGAGGAACTAAAATCAGGACGGTGCCGGGTTCCCCTCCGGCCTCTTTCTCCCGTGCACCTGCAGGTGCTTCTTCAGGTGCGTGCCCTGGGTGAAGCTCCGCCCGCAGTGCGGGCAGCAGTAGGGCCGCTCCCCCGTGTGGATGCGCTGGTGGCTCCGCAGCGCCCCCGAGTGGCTGAAGCGGGTGTCGCACTGCGGGCAGACGTAGGGCCGCTCGCCCGTGTGCACCCGCCGGTGGATCTTCAGGTTGTCCGAGGTGACGAAGCTCTTGCCGCACTGCGGGCAGACGTAGGGCCGCTCGCCCGTGTGCACGCGCCGGTGGGTCTTGAGGTTGTCCGCCGTGCTGAAGCTCTTGCCGCACAGCGGGCAGCAGTAGGGCCGCTCGCCCGTGTGGATGCGCCGGTGGATCTTCAGGTTGTCTGCCGTGGTGAAGCTCTTGCCGCACTGGGCGCAGCAGTAGGGCTTCTCCCCCGTGTGGATGCGCAGGTGCAGCTTGAGGTGCCCCGAGCTGTTGAAGCTCTTCCCGCACTGCGGGCAGGCGTAGGGCCGCTGGCCCGTGTGGATGCGCTGGTGCTTCCTCAGGTGCGCCTGCTGGTTGAAGCACTTCCCGCACTGGGCGCAGCAGTAGGGCCGCTCGCCCGTGTGGATGCGCTGGTGCGACTTGAGCGAACTGGCCTGGCTGAAGCTCTTGCCGCACTGGGCGCAGCAGTGGGGGCGCTCGCCCGTGTGCAGGCGCTCGTGCAGGCGGAGCTGGGCCGTGTAGCCGAAGCGCTCGCCGCACCGGGCGCAGCGGTAGGGCTTCTCCCCCGTGTGGATGCGCTGGTGGTTCTTCAGCACCGAGGACTGCACGAAGCCCCTGCCGCAGTGGGCGCAGCGGTAGGGCCGCTCGCCCGTGTGGACGCGCTGGTGCTTGCGGAACTCGTTGGCGAGGCCGAAGCTCTTGCCGCACTGCTCGCAGGCGTAGGGCTTCTGGGTGGCGTGGCGCCAGCCGTGGGATTTCAGGTCCCGGGCCGTGCGGAAGCCCTTGGCGCACTGCTCGCAGCGGTAGGGCCTCTCCACGGTGTGGGACAGCCGGTGCTTCTCGAAGGTCTCGTCCGACCGGAAGGTCTTGCCGCAGCAGGCCCGCCCCACCCGCGCGTGCAGCTGCTGGTGCCGTTTGAGGCTGTAGACGCTGCAGAAGTCCTTCCCGCACTGGGGGCAGGCGTGGCGCCGTTTCCGCTTGTCCGCGGCGGGCTCCACGGGGCCGGGCGGCGGCGGCGAAGGGGCCGCGGCCGGGGGCTGGAGGCCAACAGGCGCGGAGGGGCCCTCGCCCTTCACCCCGCCCAGATCCCACACGCTGAGCCCCTTCTGTTCAGCTGCGCCCTCCGGCCCGCCGCTGTCGGGCTCCAGTTTGTAGTGTTCCAGCGCCAGCGGGTCGGCGGGCTTCAGCTCACAGAACACGGGGGGCTCGTGCTCGTGTTTGAGCCCCCAGGGCTCTTCCTTTACAGCCTCAGTCTTTCCAACAAACGCCTCTATCCCGGGATTCGCCGGCTGATGCCACTCTGGGGCGTCCAGCTCCGTTTTCACGGGCGGGCAAGAGAGTCCGAACTCCAGCTGGTGGTGTCCCACGCCGCAGAGGAGCAGCGGGCCAGCGTGCTGACCCGGGCCGTCCCATTCCAGCCTGTCGGGCTCTGTCTTAATTTGCTCGGGCCTCAGCAGAGATCCGGGCTGTCGCCGATCAGATCCCTGCGCGGCACACCCGGGTCCCGCGACGGCAGCGGGACAGCGACCGGGATCCCCGGCCCCCAGCTCCGCCATGCGCGCCGAGCCCCTGTCGCTCCGGAGTCCAGCGGGGCGTCGGCCCCCGTGTCCCTCCTCTCGGGGAGCCCTTTCTTACAGTGGTAGCTAGAACGCTGCCCCCTGGAGGATCTGGAGGGGAACACAGGAAAGCAGGCCTTGACAACACCAAAACTGAGAAGGGTCTTAAACATGAATGTACAAATCTTAACAGTGTAGGAATATTTTCAAGATCTAATGGCTTAAGAAAACTGGACATAATTGACTACCTCCAGCCTATCAGTATAG